ATCTCTCCAGGACTTGTTCGCTTCAAGGACCCTGAAGCGAGCAAGAAGGATTGTAGCTGACCCCTCTCACCCTGGACACAAACTGTTCATGCCCTTTCCATCTGGTAGGAGGCTGAGGTCCATCAGGACCAAGACACCTCACACCACATGAACAGTTTCTTCCCGTCAGCAGTTAGGCTCATTAACAGAGCCCGGGACCCCCACTGACTCTGTCATCCCCAGGACAATTTCCTACCATTCTGTAACGGGTTTGGTAAGAACTCCTCCGAGGCCGCAGAGTCAGAGTCCACAGCCGGGTGGGTTGGGGGGTTCTGGTGGTAGGGTTCCTTGGGCCCGGAGGAAGGGCCCTCATAGTCCACACTGCTGGGTGTTCCTGGCAGTCGTCTTGGTCCTAGACGGTTGTTCTGGGTGCTGCCAATGAAACCCGGCCATGAGTCGGGGGTTGCAGATGTTCCGAGCGGAAACCCATTGCCTCTCCTCCGGACCATATCCTTACCAGTCCACCAGGTACTGAAGACCTTGCCCCCAGTGGCGGGAGCGCAGCAGGCGATGAACTGTGTAGACCGGACCTCCTTCGATGAGGCGAGGAGGCGGAGCACCCGGCACCAAGGGACTCTCCCGGACAGGTTTGACCTTGGATACATGGAATGTGGGGTGGATGCGGATTGATTTGGGGAGCTTGAGCCTTACTGCCGCCGGGTTGATGATCCTCTCAATCTTGAAAGGCTTGATGAACCTTGGGCCCAGCTTCTTGGACTCCACCCGCAAGGGTAGGTCCCGGGTTGACAGCCACACTCTCTGACCCACCTGGTAGATAGGGTATGGAGTGCGGTGACAGTTAGCCACTGTAGTATAGCGGTCCGCAGACCGGAGCAGGGTTGCTAGGGCCCTAGCCCAGGTCTGGCGGCAGCGGCGGATGAATGTCTGGACAGAAGGGCAGGAAACCTCCTTCTCTAATGCGGGGAACAGAGGTGGCTGGAACCCATAAGCACACTGGAACGGTGACAAGCCTGTGGCGGAGCTGGTCAGGGTGTTATGAGCATACTCCACCCACATCAACTGGCGGAACCAGGAGGCAGGATTCTGGGAGACCATGCAGCAGAGGGCTGTTTCCATCTCCTGATTCTTCCTCTCCGTCTGACCGTTGGATTGTGGGTGAAACCCCGAGGACAGACTGACAGTGGCCCCCAGCAGAGCACAGAATTCCCTCCAGAAGATGGAGATGAACTGAGGACCTCGGTCGGAGACTACGTCGACTGGAATCCCATGCAGGCGGAAGATATGCAGGGAGATGAGTTCTGCCGTCTCCTTAGCAGATGGGAGTTTGGGTAGAGGGATAAAATGGGCCAGTTTGCTGAATCTGTCGACCACTGTCAGAATGGCGGTGTGGCCCTCAGATGGTGGTAGTCCGGTGACAAACTCCAGGGAGATGTGGGACCACGGACGATGAGGCACTGGGAGAGGCTGCAGGAGACCGGCCGGAGCCTGGTGGGAAGGTTTATGTTGATTGCACACTGGGCAGGCGTTGATGAATTCCCTGGTGTCCTCGTTGAGCGAGACCCACCAGAAAAGCTGTCGCAGGACGTCCTGGGTCCTCTGGATGCCCGAGTGGCAGGTAAGTCGAGAGGAGTGTGCCCACTGGAGGACGTCGGACCGAAGGGCCTGAGGGACGAACAGGTGGTTAGGAGGGCATGCGCTGGGACCGGCTTGAACCCTAGTCGCGGCCCTCACCGATTCCTCAATCTCCCAGGTGAGGACGGCTACTTGGCAGGAGGCAGGGAGGATGGACGAGGAGCCAGAGGTAGGTTCTTCCTCCCCCTGGAACTGAAGGGAAAGGGCATCAGGCTTGACATTGCGGGACCCGGGGCGATGAGGTTCTTGTCTTTTTTCTCCACGAAGAAAAATCCAGCACCTGCGGGAGAGGACGAGGGGCATATGAGACTGGAAGCCAGGGAGTTGTTAATGTAATTGTCCATCGCCTCTCTTTCAGGAGCAGACGGGGAATAAAGGCGTCCCTTAGGTGGGAACGTACCTGGATGGAGGTCGATGGCACAATCATAAGGATGGTGGGGAGGCAGAGACATGGCCTTAGATTTGTTGAAAACCTCCTTAAAGTCCAAGTATTCAGCGGGTACCCCCGTAAGTTCAGGCGTGGAATTGGTGAGCGAGGCACCTCATGGTGCGGCGGCTTGCTTCAGGCAGACTAGATGACAGGACTGGCTCCAACCCGAAAAGCCCCCGTAGTTCAGTCGATATCAGGATTGTGTCAACGCAGCCAGGGGTATCCCAGAATGAGGGGGATGCGAGGGGTTTGCAAGATGTGGAAGCTGATGGTCTCGTGGTGGTTGCCGGACAGCAGCATTGGGACCGGAACGGTTTGGTGCGTCACTGTCCCCAGAAGATGACCGTCCAGGGCACTGGCTGGAACGAACAGACTGGGGAAGAGGTATCCGGTCGATTCCCAACTGTGTAACGAGTTCCTCGTCCATAAAGGACGCGTCTGCTCCAGAGGCCATGAAGGTGGAAATAGTATGTGAGCCCTCGGTGAGAAGTAGCTGGGCGTGGAAAAGTGGTCGTTGACAGACGAGGGTTTCGGGAAACTGCTCAGCTCACCAGTACTTCTTTATTTACTGGTGATCCCGGGCTTTTAACGGGCAATGGTGAGCAAAATGACCTGCCTGGCCACAGTACATGCAGAGATTGCCCCGTCGCCGCCACTATCATTCCTCCGTAGATAGTCCAGTACGTCCCACTTGCATGGCTTCGTTCCCTTGAGGAAGCCGCTGAGTCGGCGTGTACTCCGGCACTGTAGCACGAGGAAAGCGAGATGGTTGCCCTTGACTTGACTGTTCCAGACGCCTTGCCGAGCGCCTGACCTGGATGTCGCCGCATCCAGGTCCAAACTGGTGGTTATTTCGATAAGTCCGTCCAGAGATGTGGGTAGCTTGAACGAGATTAGTTCGTCCTTGACGTAATCTGCTAGATTGGGCTGCTGAAGCCTCATTAGCCCTCCGGTGATGTCCGGTCCCATGAACACCACTCTGAAAACCTTGCGTAGTTCGTCGGAGAAGGACTGGAAGGAAGCACAGGCAGGAGTACGATGATCCCATTCCGCCGTTCCCCACAGGCGAGCTCTCCCCGTCAGGTGGTTGATGGTAAACGCCACCCTGGCGTCTTCTGACGTGAAGGTGCGGGGCTGCAACAAAAACAGGATGGAACAGTTCGTCAGGAATGCGTTGCAACCCTCAGGATCCCCAGCGTAACGTTCTGGCTCCCCCAGCCGGGGCTCCGAGAACGCCGTAGAATGTGCTGGATCAATTCCAGCAGGGATCGAAGCAGGTGACGTCCGTTGGTCTGAGCTGTGGCTGCCGTGAGTTGCTGTACCTGATCGATCAAGGTGGTGAGGATCTGGTTCTGATTCGCCGGGGTGTGGCGAACCTCGGCAGTGTTGTTGACGAGACCCTGAGCTGTCACATGGTCACTCCCCTGCACATCCATTCTAGGTTCTTATTTAATTACACTCGACACTTTTACATTACACTTACATCTCACATGTTTATGGTCGTGTTATCTGTTCGTTTGTGCACTTTATTTTATATTTTACTTTATTTTATATTTCACTTTATTTTATATTTCGCTTTATTTTATATTTCACTTTATTTTATATTTTACTTTATTTTATATCTTTCTGTACATTTGAATATGTTTCTACTTTGCACTGTGTTGATTGTTAAATGTTTGCATCTCCCGTCATGTCAAATTCCTCGTATGTTCAACATACCATGGCAATAAACGGTTCTGATTCTGATTGTCTTTCTAAAATGTCTTAAAATGTTCTAAATGCATTCTGCAAAGTTGTCTTTTGTTTGCTGACAATCAGTCGCTCTCAATAGGACCTTTTACAATGACGTCATTCTGCTGCTGTGGATGTCCTCTGTCTTGAAAAGTATAAAAGGCATCAATGAGTTTCGACCTATGGTCATGTGTGTTTGGTGTTTAAGTTGCACATTGTGACAACAGAGTCTAAACTTAAACTAGTGACGTTTTAACAAACGAGTAACAAACCTTAACATCATTATTTGTTGGTGAACTCAGTAATATTGTCATAAACCAAAGTGAGGATCATGATAAACTCCACTCAGGTTTCATATTTCATACTTAGTGCCTACTTTGACACCGGGGTTTTTAAATACGTGTTTTTCATGATTGTTATGTTTTTATATATGTTAATTGTTGGTTCCAACCTTCTGCTGATTGTGGTGATCTGTATGAACAGAAGCTTACATGAACCTATGTACCTTTTTCTCTGCAGGCTGTTTGTAAATGAACTGTTTGGTAGTGCAGGGTTGTTTCCATTCCTTCTGCTTCAGATCCTCTCTGACATTCACACTGTTTCTGCTCCACTTTGTTTCCTGCAGATTTATTGTGTTCACTGTTATGCAGGTGTTGAGTATTTTAACTTAGCTGTCATGTCTTATGATCGATATCTTGCCATCTGTTATCCTCTGCAATACAACACACGTATGACTAATAATAAGATTGCCACTCTTATTGCTCTAACATGGTTTTTTCCTTGTTTTGCAATGGTTGTTCTGCTGTCTATGACTTCTCCTTTGCAGCTCTGTGGGAACACCATTTACAAAGTTTACTGTGATACCCACTCTGTTGTGAAGCTGTTCTGCTCTGACATCAAAGCGATTAACGTATATGGACTTATTGCCACTTTTACCACAATCTTTGGGCCTCTAACTTTAATCCTTTACTCTTACGTGAGGATCTTTAGAGTTTGTTTCTCTGGTTGTAAACAGACCAGACAGAAAGCTGTCAGTACCTGCACACCTCATCTCGCTTCTCTCTTGCACTTTTCTGTTGGTGGTTGCTTTGAAATATTACAGAGCAGGTTTAATATGAACACTTTACCCAATGTGTTAAGAATCTTTCTATCGTTGTATTTTCTTACATGCCCGCCGCTCTTTAAACCCTGTACTGTATGGCCTGAATCTGTCCAAAATACGTGTCATATTTAAAAGTCTGATATCAAATGCAGACTAATAATATAACATTTTTCATCAGGTTTTCATAGATTAGTTATTTTAATCAGACCGTTTACTGTAATGTAGATCTGTGCTTCTTACAATGACACAAATAAAGTACATCTTCTGTCTGTGAACAGAGGAGCATCCACGACACTCAAATCTAACAGTATTTATAGAGATAGTGGTGCACAAAGCCATGTCAGAGAAAGTTAAGCTTCAAATCTAATTTACAATTACACCCATATACATATATTTAGATTGATATTATATTACATTATAGTACATAAACGACAGATTCATATCTCTTCTTCATTATCTTATGCAGTTAACAATTCACTTAACTACTTTAATAAACACTAGCCCTATTTTTAGGCCTCTGCTCGAAAAAGGCATACCCATACTAAAGAGACTTAAATTCTGTAACTACAAGGTCTATTTTAATCATTTTTAATGCTATAATCAGATAACACTTTGAGATTGTTCAGATGGGTAAATATTGTGTGTATATTGCTGGTTAATATAGTACATGAAGATATTACACAGCTCAAATTGAAAATATTCAGGTTCGCCTTTTATTGATATTATGTTTTTGAAATAATGCAGCTGAGAGCCTAAAAACTCTCCCAAATCATAGCACAACTGATCAGTAATCGTAGAATAACGTTTGGCTGGAATAAAGTGAAGAGTAAGAGGGTTTTAGTACAGAGAGGTCACGCGAGGTCGTCATTTTGGAACCAGCTGTTGCAGCTCTTACATTGTACTTTTATATACTATATAACTATATATTTCACTTTTTTATCACTCATATTATTCAATACATCCAAATACAGCCGTTTGGCATCATTTTGAGAGCCAGGGTCCTCTCAGAGCCTGTTTCTGGCTCTCATCCATGGGATTTTCTCGTCTGAATTCCAGTTGCTGTGTGTGTATGGGGCTCTAGCTCAGCCTATCATCGGTCGATTTCAGTCAATGAGCCCGCCTTCGACGCATCAGAGTCTTGGGAAGGCGGTAGTGGAAGCCGGGTGTTGATTGACAGAACTTTCAGCCAGTAAAAATGCAGAGTGCTGCGCATCCAAAAACGTAAAATTCCATTCGCCAAAAGTCTGACCACCCACCCACGGGTCCAGCAAGTTAGATTGACCCCCCTTCTACAGGAAACAGACGAGAAACAGACAGGATGTACTTAGCAACAATGTTTGTAGCTTTGAACAGGATAATTATGCCATTCCTTTCGTGATTCTTCATAAAGGTGAGCTGCTGGCTATGATTTTTTCCGGTGAAGTGATGTATTGTACTGGCGTTGTTGGCTCACAGCTTTGTACTGGTTTCACGGAGAGAAAATCCGAAGGTATGTATGGGTTCTGCGTCCAATTCTCATGCTCGGCGATGTATTGATCGGCCGTGTAGCCGTTAGCTTGTTGTTGGAATATCGAAGCGCAGTAAATAGAACGCCGATTTGTGGCCAGAAATACGTGGTATTATGCCACATTTTCTAGTTGCTTATATTAGTAGTGTATAGTTGTGTTTGGAGTGTGTAAAAAGTGACTTATACGATAGTGTTGCCCATACGTTGCTGTTTAATCCGGTATATAAAATGTATACATGCACAATATTCGCTCTCAATATGAGCATTTTTTGGACGATATTTGCTACCCCCCTTAAGCCCGAGAGCCCCCACATTTGGGGGCGTCGTGTACAAGAGGTTTTAACAAGTCTGATGAATTTGCACAACTATCATATTTGTAATGTTCACGATCATGTGGCCTCAGCTGTTATAGTTGTGGATGTCATTCTAAAACAATGTCTTCTGTTATTTATTTCATTTTAAACACGTTTGGATCTTTTTCTTCCCTCTGCAGTCTGGTCCTTGTACTGCTTTAACATTTGAATTCCCTTCTGGGGGTCAATGAAGATCTTATCTTTTCTTTTCTGTAACAACCAGACAGCATGTGAAACATGAGCACAGAGAGGCAGCCGCTGGCAGTAACATGTTAGACACCAGGCTCCCTCCAGCAACGCTCATTAGATAAATAAAAGATTGTAGATCCGCTCCATTAACTGCATCGATTAAATACATCTTTGATCATGTGTTTCTTTATTTTCTGAATATCTTGCTAAAGCTTGAGACATGAGGAGAAGAGTCTCTCTGCAGAGTATTGGTTCATGAACTGGATCACATATACGCTGTTTTGGCACTAAGAGATGTAGATTTGGTCTTGTTTGGATGTGTGCTGAGCGGGCTGTGTTTCTGTAGTTTTTCCATTGTGGGATATCTCCTGTTGATATTTTGATGTTTATGATTATGTTTGTTAAATGTGCTGTTAGGTGATGGTGGGCTTACATGCCAGGATGTTTGCTTTGTTGTTAGTCAATGTAAAGACACCAGACACAAACATGAAATATTCATTTATTCATTATGCTGCTATGGGCCTAGACAGACAGGAGACTTCCCATGATGCACTCAGCTCCCCTCTCCATCTGTGTGCATCTATGTCCCATTAATGTTCGTCTGGATCTATGATTGCAAGTCACCGACTGCCGTTATGTTCCTGTGTAACAGTTAAAAATGTACTTTATTATTATTTCCTATTTTAGATTTGTAATATTTATATTTTGTTTGTCATCTAACGATTCTGTTGAGTTATGTGTGAATTTTATCTTAATGACTTATTTTTATTTAGCGTTTTATTTTGTTAATGCTTCCTGATCTCACCATCTCCATGTCCGTTCCCTGGATGTTCACTGGTACCGGAGGAGAGTGAAGTCCACCACCAGATGATGGTTAAAGTCCAGACAACTGGTAGAAACTATCATGATTCACTTTGGATGCTACTCCAACACCATCCATCCATCCATTTTCCTCCGCTTATCCGGGGTCGGGTCGCGGTGGCAGCAGGCCAAGTAGGCTGACCCAGACCTCCCTCTCACTGGCAACATGTTCCAGCTCATTCTGGAGGATCCCGAGGCGTTCCCAGGCCAGCTGGGAGATGTAATCCCTCCAGCGCGTTCTGGGTCTTCCCCGGGGTCTCTTCCCAGTTGGACGTGCCTGGAAAACCTCCAGTGGGAGGTGTCCAGGAGGCATCCTAATTAGATGCCCGAACCACCTCAGCTGACTCCTTTCGACGCGAAGGAGTAGCGGTTCGACTCCAAGCTCCCTCCTGATGACCGAGCTCCTTACCCTATCTCTAAGGCTGAGCCCGGCCACCCTACGGAGGAAGCTCATTTCGGCCGCTTGTAGCCGCGACCTTGTCCTTTCGGTCACGACCCAGAGTTCGTGACCATAGGTGAGGGTAGGAACGTAGACCGAGTGGTAAATTGAAAGCTTTGCCTTCCGGCTCAGCTCCCTCTTCACCAAGACGGTCCGGTGCAGCGCCTGCTTTACTGCTGCAGCCGCACCGATCCGTCTGTCGATCTCCCGGTCCATCTTACCCTCACTCGTGAACAAGACCCCGAGATACTTAAACTCCTTCGCTTGAGGTAGGCACTCCGTCCTCACCTGGAGGGAGCAATCCACCGGTTTCCGGCAGAGAACCATGGCCTCTGATTTGGAGGTGCTAACTCTCATCCCCACCGCTTCACACTCGGCTGCAAACCGCCCCAGTGAATGCTGGAGGTCATGATTCGAGGAGGCTAACAGGACCACATCATCTGCAAACAGCAGAGAGGCGATCCCCCAGGCGAACCTGACGTTCTCCCCCCCGAGGCTGCGCCTAGATATCCTGTCCATGAAAGTCACGAACAGGACCGGTGACAAAGGGCAGCCCTGCGGAGGCCACACCCACCGGGAATATGTCTGACTTATTACCGAGAATGCGGACACAGCTCCTACTGCAGTCGTACAGAGACCGTATCGCCCGTTGTAACGGGTCCGGCACCCCATACTCCTGCAGCACCCCCCACAAGAACCCCCGAGGGACCCGGTCGAAAGCCTTCTCCAAGTCCACAAAGCACATGTAGACTGGTTGGGCAAACTCTCAGAACCCCTCCAGTAGTCTTGCGAGGGTAAAGAGCTGGTCCACTGTTCCACGGCCGGGACGGAATCCGCACTGCTCCTCTTGAATCCGAGGTTCGACAAGCGGTCGGAGCCTCCTTTCCAGCACCCTGGCATAAGCCTTCCCCGGGAGGCTGAGTAGTGCGATACCCCGGTAATTCGAGCACACTCTCTGGTCCCCCTTTTTGAAGATGGGAACCACCACCCCGGTCTGCCATTCCATGGGCACTGATCCCGACCCCCATGCGACATTGAAGAGGCGTGTCAGCCAGGGCAGCCCAACTATGTCCAGCACTTTGAGCATCTCAGGGCGGATCTCATCCACCCCCGGCGCCTTGCCGCCAAGGAGCTTTTTGACTACCTCAGCGGCCTCTGCCAGGGATATGGGTGAGCCTCCCCCTAGATCTTCAGGCGCTGCCTCCTCTTCAGAGGACATGTTGGTCGGGTTTAGGAGTTCCTCAAAGTGCTCTTTCCACCGCCCGACGATGTCCCCTGTCCGGGTCAGCAGTTCCCCCCCCTGCTGAGAACAGCCTGGGGTAAGCCCTGCTTTCCCTTCCTGAGCCGTCGGATGGTTTGCCAGAACCTCCTTGAGGCCAACCGAAAGTCCTTCTCCATGGCCTCCCCGAACTCCTCCCATGCCCGAGTTTTAGCATTCTGTCTTAGTAAACATGATATTTTTTGTTTACATAGTACTTTTGATTTCCCCTTTGCTATTAAATACATTTTGTCTCATTTCTCAAATCTGACACAACATGATGCAGCTGTTTCTAAAACTGAGGACATCACGTCTCTGTGTTCACAAAAGCAAAACAAGTCTGAGTAAATGTGTTTTAAACACAAAGGTCCGTATCATTAAAGAGAATAGGCTGCTGATGCTAATGCTAATGCTGAGAGCCTACATTTGAAATCTGATTTTGACATGAAACACGTATTTTAGACAGATTCAGTCCGTACATTAAAGGGTTGAAGAGCGGCGGGCATGTGAGGAAGTACATCAATAAAAAAATACGCAATATGTTGGGAACACCGTTCATATCAAATCTGCTCTGTAATATTTCAAAACAAGCTCCAAAAGAGAAGTTGAGCAGAGAAGCGAGGTGAGGTGTGCAGGTACTGACAGCTTCCTGTCTGGTCTGTTTACAACCAGAGAAACAAACTCTAAAGATCCTCACGTAAGAGTAAAGGATTAAAGTTAGAGGCCCAAAGACTGAGAAGACACTAACAACGAGTCCAAAGACATTATTGACCGTCGTGTCATAACAGGCCAGTTTAACAACAGAGTAGTTGTCACAGTAGACTTTGTTAATGATGTTCCCACACAGCTGGAGAGGAACGATCAAAGTCAGAGTGAAACCATTCTCAATGAATATG